ACAACTACAATTGACAATTAAGCTTAACTCGCAAACTCAACTCTTTAACTTATAAACTCAAAAATGCTCTACACTCTTAACTACGATTTTCATTGCTTTACAGTTCTCCCAATAGGCTTTCAACACTCTAACAGAGTAGAAGCTATATATTACAACTAATAGAAGAGAATTACTTCACAATAAAGAAAAAGTGTTTAATAGTAATTTGAGGTTTCAAGAAATTCATATATACTTCTATTTGGACATCACTGCAAGATAATTATGCTGTCATCACTTCATTATTGAAGTGGAAGAATTTGATAGGTCATATTACTCAATAGGCTCTAAAATTTTAAATATATTACTTCAAGGTTATTCATCATCTAAAGAGTTTTATAGTTGATATTAACACTTTTTTTTGAGCTTCTCTCCCTTCTTTACTCTTTTCTTGTGTTTTTAATAAGCTTATTGTTCTAGAATTAAACAAATTTTTTGTGTTATTGACAATTATTATATTTAATATTAAGGTGTAGAGTTAGATTTACTTTATTTTGATGAGGTTTATAAGGGTCAAAAGCTCAAAACCTCAAGCTATAGATTTGAAGGTTTTATAATGGGTTTAAGAATATTGTATCACATGCTAATAACTTGTCATTTCAGCATTTATATTTTTATTATTGCTTTAAAAGATAATCTTCTTTACTTTATAAGGATTAATTTTGATGAGTATTTGTGATTGGTGGTGCCTTTTATTTTTATTTCACACTTTCTTTACACTTGCTATAACTTTTCTATTCTAGGTGGGCATATAGAATATTGTCATATGATTGATAAGTTGCACAAGTCTTTCTATTAATTGGGAATATGATATAATAGGTTTTAGTATGTATATAGCTACTTTTAGTGCGAAGCTTGTAATATTCCTCTTTATGTTGTATATGTAGTTAATTACAATTTCATATTTATTTGAGTTTGTGGCATTATATATAATAGTGTTTTTTCCACAATCAATCATTACAATGAATATGTTATTATTGCTCCTAAATTGTTAGGTGGAAGTTAGTGCTTTTGCTAGTGTGCTTACAATTACTATTAGATACCTCCTCTTCAATCAAGTGGTATTCCAGTATTTTTCAAAGCAAATTCTCAAATAATGGTCTTGTATTTATATCTAAGGTATTTCATATTTTAATGTCTCGGTTGAAAATATACCACACTTTCATAAGTGTTTATTATCCACAAAAGGATACTTTATATATCATGGGAGTACAAAATTCCATTAGTGCATTATATAAATTTTTATATAGTTATGATTCAATATAGTCAATAGAGTTGAGTTTATCTTCATTATTGCTAGATTAATATTTGAAAAAAAATCTTCCACTAATTTGAGTAAAGTTTGTTAAGCACTTTAGTTGCATATAACTGGAACACCAATAACACTACAACTTTTATGATCATCCACTTGTAAAATATAAAGCAATTGATTTAGTGTTAGTTTGTTTTTCCTATCCTATGGTACATGTTAAAATTTGCTAGTTGATAAGCTAAGATTTAAAGAAATATTACGAGGAAATACTAATGTCTTTGTAAGTGGTGCAACTTATTTATAATTGATACAATGTTATATATTATTATTAGTGCAATGGAATTTAGCCCATCAACTAACTACTTTCTATCTAAATGCATAATTAAGATGTTGTAAACTATTATTATCATAGTGAAAATTTGAAAACAAGGTTTTGATTTTTGAATAGACTAAATAACATAAAAGATACCTTCTTAGTACTAATTTAGCTACATCCCCTAATTATTAAGACGTTTAATGCCTAAGTGCATAGAATAGATCCCACTGGTCAAAACTTACATTCTGAAAGAAGCTACTATAATCGTCTACATTTCTACGGAGACCAGCTTTTGGAAACTTCGATCGAGTATCGAAAGACAATGCAAACCTGAAACAAACAATTCAACGATATTAGAAGAATCAATTTACGAAAGAAGCACTACCTCAAGCGGTAAAGTCTGAGAAGAAACAAGAAAAACGATCAAAGATCTATCTGAAAGCCACCAGGAAAAAAAATGAAGGAAGAACAACACTTACGATCGATCATTAGTAGAAGCGGTGCTGCCTTCCCAAGAGAGACATCATCCTCTCCATTCCATTGATCCCACGTTGGAGGCGATCTTGAGAACTCCCTGGAGAGGCTCGAAGTAATTCCCATAGACGTACTCGGGCTTGTACATCCCTTCTTCCTCGTCGTAGAGAAGCATATGGCCGTGCCACTCCCACGTCCGATATCCCACCTCCATCTCCTCATCGTAGCTCACGCAGACATGGTGATTCCCCACCGCGATGGATTTGCTCGAGTTGGGCTCCAATCGCTCCCACTGGCCGCTGGTGATGATCTCGATGATCGCCTTGTCCATGGCCGCCTTCTCCTGGACGAGCTTGGATCGCCGCCCAATCTGCTGCTGCTGCTGGAGGCCATCAAAGACGACTGGCCCATTGTCACGCATTTGCGAGCGAAGCCCCAATCTCTCCATCGCCACGCTCAGCGGGATGTTGTTCAGATGGCTCCCAGCCATCCCAGCGGGCGTCTGCGGCGGATCCTCGCGCTTGGGCGATGCCGTGACCCTCCCCATGGCTGCAATACAGAAAGAATCGCCCTAGAGGAGCTCAAGAACCCTAAAATGTGGGCGGTAATAAGAGAATGCTAGGGTTTGCATTATGGTTGTAGGGCTCATGGAGGACGACGGGGAGGAGATCGACTACCCGGAGATTACTCGCGGCGGCGGCGGCGGCGGCGATCAATCGCTCCCGACGTGCGTGGTTTGCATCGAGACCCTGGGGCGCCATGGCGGCCCAGCCTCGCTACCCTGCGGCCACAATGGATGCCTCCAGTGTCTCCAAAAGGTGAGTGAGGCTATGCTCTTCTTCTCGAGCAGTAGCTAGATGATTTTGGATTCCAGGTCCAGAGACACTCGCAATCGCCGCTTTGCCCTGTCTGCCGGACGCCATTCGATGCCGAGATGAATTTGGGGCCGAATTTGGAGCTCAAGGAAGCAATTCGCCAGGCACACGCAAGGAAGATGGATAGAAGCTCAGGTACGCCACCGAAGGAGGAGGGGGTCTATCCGAAAATCCACCAGCAGCACCAGCAGCCAGCACCAGAGATCACTATAAGGAATCTCTTCGCTGGTTTGTATGCGATTGTCACGGGGGCAGCGAGCAAGAAGAGCAGTGGTAGCAGTGATCGTCGCAGGGCAGAGGCAGAAGATGGTCCTCCGGAGGATTTATGGGGGAGTGTCTTGCTACCCAGCGCTCCTCCACTTTTCTCCTCCAGCGCTGTTGACGATGTTAGAGCGACCAAAACTCTGCTCGAGGCCGAGCCTCCACAGTGGCTTCCAGACAGCTCCGCAACGTCGTGTATGCAGTGTGATGCAAGCTTCCGGCCAGTGACTTGTGGAAGGCACCACTGCCGGTTTTGTGGAGGGATTTTCTGCCGCTACTGCTCCAGGGGCCGCTGCTTGCTGCCGATGAAGTTCCGAGAGCGAGAGCCTCAGCGGGTCTGCGATGCTTGCTACGAGAGACTGGAGCCAGTCCAGAGAATTTTGGTGGAGCGAGTGAGCAATGCCTCTCAGGTGGCGACGCACGACGTGACGGATTTTAGCTGCATGAGAAGCTGGCTCAACAGCCCCTTGGGCCTCTCGATGGAGCAGGAGATCTACAAAGCTACAAACGCTTTGCGAAGCTATGCAAAGGTATTGCTCTTCTTGGTTGCTCTTCTCCGATCTTACTTTTGGCCTTTTTTTCTAGTTTGGAGGCTTGAAACCTGAGAAGGCAATACCCGAAAAGGTGCTGAGAGGCGCCAAGGGAGTGGCAGTGTTAACCATCGCGAAAGCTGGCGTTGTTGTCACGTATAAGCTTGGAACGGGACTCGTGATCGCGAGGCGTGAGGATGGGACATGGTCGGCTCCTTCTGCGATTGCTTGTGCCGGGCTTGGATGGGGAGCTCAAGCATGTGTTCTATCATTTCTCGTTTTCTCTCTTGTGCTAACAGGACTCACTTTCCAGATGGGAGGAGAGCTCACGGACTTCATACTCGTTCTTCGTAGCCCCGAGGCTGTGAGGGCCTTCAGCGGACGAATCCATTTCGCTCTGGGAGCTGAGCTGAGCGCCGTCGCCGGTCCCGTGGGACGACTCGCGGAAGCTGATGTTCGAGCTGGCGACGGTGGCACTGCTGCTTGCTACTCCTACAGCTTAAGCAAAGGTAAGCTCTCCTTTCCATTCGAGCTTCCAGGGATTTCTCTAACGAGCAAAGAATTCTTCTCCCACAGGGGCGTTTGTGGGGGTCTCGGTCGAAGGGAGCGTTGTGACGCGAAGATCCGACACGAACGCTCGTTTCTATGGCGATTCTTACGTGACAGCCGCAGACATTCTCTCGGGAGCTTATCCAGCGCCAAGAGCAGCGTACCCATTATACGAAGCTCTTCACGATCTCTTCTATTGAAAAGCTGTGCATAGGTAGTATGTAAATGGTGTTCTTTGTAAATACACGCAAGATTTGTTCTATGGGAAAATTCCTGGCAATGGGAATCGAGCCAGGGATGGGCGGGTACTTAGTCAGTCGCCAAAAGTGACCTCTTTCATCTTCATTAAAGTAAGAAAATAGCCCTAGCTCCTCCCAGCGATGGCGTATGTCGATCACTCTTTCTCCATCTCCGAGGATCCCACCGGCACATTCATCATCAACAACAAGCCGCCAGTGAAGGAGATCGCGTTGTCCGTGGCGCTTCTGGCGCTGGGCGCCATTGGCATGGTGATCGGGATCTTCATGATCTACAACAAGATCGGAGGTGACTCGGGACACGGTGAGTCTAGGATATTTCGATGCGATCTTGCGAAATTTCGAGTGGATTGAGCGTGAATTGTGGTGTTCTTCCCTCCAGGCGTGGCATTTACGATCCTCGGAGCTTTGCTCTTCTTGCCGGGGTTCTACTATACCAGAATCGCTTACTACGCTTACAAGGGCTACAAGGGTTTCTCCTTCGCGACGATCCCAGCAGTGTAGAGGGAAGATAGAAGGTTTCCAGAATTTTTTCCCTTTTTTTTTTGTATGATACTCACTGGTCTCGATCGATACATTGATTGTATTAATCTACACCTCGTGTTTTTTTTTCTTGTAGGTTCTCTCTCTATACTGCTCGAGTTAGAGCACTGTTTATCAAAAGACTTGGTCGAGCGAAAACGAGGGGTTTTCTCTCCTTTCCTTCGCATTGTTTTGTTTGGGTTGTCTTATCTTTAAATGCAGCAGCGTGTTGACCCGACGAGATCGTAGTTATAGATTGACAGGAAGGAATGAGCAACGGATCGGTGGTACCAGTGGCCGCCAAGGCGGACGACGAAGATATCTGGGTTTGCAGGAGGTGTGGCTGGACATACCCAAATCACCATCCCAGCGCCAGGCATCGCAGGAATCACAGGAAGCATTGCGGCAAAGTCAAAGGGTTTGAAGTGGTGAAGCAGCCGGAGCAACTAGATCACGGATCATCTGACGATGTTTCCTCGGGCGAAGAGAAGAGTGTTCATCAACGACAAGGTACCTCTTCAGCCTATCATGGTGCTTTGCTCATCTCGTTTCTCTTCCTGTTCGGCTTTCTCTTCTTCTTTTTTTATTCACAGTTTCAGAGGCTGCTGGTGGTGTTACTGCCCCTGCTGTAGCTCCTGAGACACACCAAACTGTCGCTGAAGGCGGTGTCGAGGATAAAACGCCGAGCTCAACAGTGGGTCTAACGGGAGAATGTAAGAACCGTTTGCTGTTGGGATTTTCGTATCAATAGTTTTGTGAATGCAGTGATTCCAGCTCAAGATGAGGCTGCTTCACATCCAGAGCAAGGTATGTATGATCGGTCAGTGCGTTTATTGTGATCCCCGTTGACGATAGTTTTTTCCGTTTTCTATTTCAGACGCTCCTGCTTCCAGCGACGAACCTTCAGATCTGTGGGAACAGCTGCTGGATGCTCAGGTGGCTGGAACACCACCATCACGACTGGAAGCCGCGCATGCAAATACTGAAAACTCGTCCATTGAGGAAGCTTCTGCTTCTCATAAAGGTATGCAAAAGAAATATAGTTTCAAATGAGATTTTCATTCCTAAATGCAGATGAATTTGGTGGAGAGGACGTTCCTTTAAACCCTTTCGTACCTCCGTCTCCCGTTGTCCATCACGAAGGTACGCTGGAAATATACTCCTTTGTCTGATTGCATTAAGCTTGTTAGTCTACAGGCATCCATGTAGCTGAAAGCGGCCAACTGGAAGAGATTCCAATCCACTCCGAAAAGAATCCTTTTCTACACCCTGATTCTCCAGTGTCAGGTACGTCAATCTCTTCCATGGCATTTTTCTAATCGCATTTTTTCTGGTCACAGGGACACAACGTGTTGACAAAGAAAAGGCCGAAGCCTCGTCGTCCACATCCTGGGATAGCATCAAGCCACATGTCGCCTTGAAATCACTCTTTGACGAGGACCGGACAAGGCAAGCTGATCGATACTACTTGGAGGAGGGCCAAGCTCCGGTGCCGGATGTGCCACCACCCAAGCGTACCAACAGCAACGTCCTGATGAAAGCCATTGAGAATGTCAGAAACCCCCTCGCCAAAGTTTAG